ATAGGGCTATGTGTTTATAGCTGCAGTCAGCAGTGCCAAGGCTCCTGCAGGCTGGTTTGAGGAGAGAAGAGGAATCTCCAATATTGTCACTAACTTCTGGCCCACCTCCCCTAGCAGACCTGAAGTCCGCTGCCTATAACTTACAGGTAGCTGTAGGATACTGATCTTCCAGGATAGCATCAGCTATTCTGAATCATGTCACTATGTTCTGAAAGAGTCTATCTTTCTAAAGCTTTTCCTGACATTAGTCTTTCCATACCTGTTTGAAACTTCTCTCTTGGTAATGGTTCTTGGAAGGCACAGGCAGAATTAGTGTGGAAAAGAGCTAAATATTTTCTGACCAAACTTCTGGCAATGTGGATGTGCATCTACAGCAATTGCACCTTCTAGACCAAAAGCACTTGTGATCAAAACTCATAATGAAAGTGAAGGTGCAGCCCCTATTCCGAAGTAATGGATATCATGTTCACCTGGGAGAAGGAAACACTGAAGCAAAAGCTTTCTAATTATCCATGCAAATTTGACAGCTTGCACAACACAGTGCAAAAAGCTGGCAGAACCCAAACAAAGTCAAAGCAACCCTGGCAAAACGGAAGATGCCATTAATTCCTTATCATAAAATGTATTTTCTAATGAAGCTGCAAGTTTTCTTCCTTAGCCTGAAAAATCCTGAATCTCCTATGGGACGATGCTGTATAACCTAAATATCATGGCTGCAAAACCCATCAGCACTATCTTTAGGGCTATCTACATTGACTTCACCAGTTCTTTTAGTTTTCCTTAGAGAAATGGCTCTTTGATGAACATGTCATCTTCAAACTGAGGCAAAGCACTTTCCAGACTACTGTTGACTCCTGCAATATGAACTTCACAGTTAAGTATATTCTACTGTAGACAAGAGTATAGACAGCACAGACTTTGCCTTAGAATAAAGGATCCAAGGAGACTTGTTAACTTATTGATTTTACAATATAGGGCACAGTTACCACATTTGTTCTTTACTTTGACACTCCAGATATCAACCACTACCAAGAAGAGAAATAACTGTAAGAAACTGATATTTATAGTGATACTCTGCTCTGTCCAAGCAGCAGACTCCTTTATCATGGAACAGTGACCCCTGCTAAAGCAATTCATTCGTTGCTACTCTCTGGAATAGCAGCTTCCTCTGAAATACACAGTTCCAAATGCTATAGTTCTATATGCCACAGAACTATGAACTGCACTGAGGCGAGTTAGGAGGAAATGCTATCCATGGAGGAATACCCTTCTTCATCCATGTAGTCACTGTGACGTGGGGATACCCTTTGGAAATCCTAGTAAGATCTTCCTGCTCCACTGTGCAAAGCAGCTTTTCCACTGGGTGACACTTGAAAATCCAGAAGCATTTGCATCTACAGGAATGCCATGGCTTTCCCTCGACTCACTTAAACTCTAGGAAAAATACCTTGAAAGGGGTTCCTTTGTGTAACTTGAGAGTATAGTTTAAAAGGGGGAAGACTGCTCACAGCTGTGAGTGTATTCTTACCCACCACCCTCACCTGTGCTCAGCACAGAGTGCCTGGTTTGTACCTCAACCCATATAAATAGACTCCTGTTATCACAGGGCATGGCAAACACTCCAGTCATATCAGTACTGCTGTGGCTCACCCCTGAGCATGCAGCTCAGTTGCTTTTATTATTAAATAGACATTGTGCTTAACCATTTCACTTCCAGTGCTGCACAGCTCTCCTTTAAGGGACTATCTACATGTTTTCATAGCAGTTTTACAGCCTTAATTCAAAGCTGGTGATAAATAAAGCCATTCCCAAACTTAGAAATGCCGAGAGCCAAGAATCACAGCTTATCAAATCTCCAAAATAAATAAAGCATGTGTCAAACTTGCCTATCCATTGGCAAGGGAATGCCATGAACACTAGTATCTGATTGTTGATAAGGCAATGTGAATGTTGTGAAGTGTTGACTGATACAGCACTCAAGGGAATGGAAAAGAGAAAGTTGTGGAAGATGCAAAAATGTGTCAGCTGATATCTCAGTAGGACCTTTTTTTTCTGGTTCAGTGAAGATAGTGTCCTTATGGGTTGCAGATGAGAATAACTCCCAAACTTCTGGAAAAATCAGTTTTAGGAGTTTTATTCTAGTGGTTTTGTGGTGTTGCTCTGTGGTGATGGACAGTCTGAGTAAGGTGAGCAAGTTTTTTTTAAAGTTCATGTCAGGTCTGGTTCCCTTGGCTTTTGTTTTTGTGGTTACAGATACTTTTCACCTTTGACAAAGTATACATTTTTTTATCTTGATTAGAACATCCAAGAGCTGATGTAACGGAATTGATAGTTTGGTCTTTGGCTTGTTCTTTACTCCATTTATTTATCTGTAAGTTGAATAAATGCAGTTGCATTCAAAGGGAAACTTTTTCGTCTTTTTTGTTTTGTTTTGAGTACCTTTCCATGCATCTCAAGGCTTCTCTTTGCTTTTCAGTACTTTCTCTCTAAGAATTGTACTTCTTGTTCTTATAGGGTATATCAGTCACTCAGTCTGTTGCTAGTAAATCAGCCAGGATCATTTCCAGTAACAGAGGCCAGTGTCATGATGCACTAGCACTGGTATCCCACAATTATAAATAGATTTTTGCATGGACCTCAGAAGGATAAATAGACTTTCAGGGTTACTGCAGTCATATAGGAGAAGAATAACAACTCCAAAAACTAATGCCAGGACCTAGTGTTTGGTTATTCAGAGGGCTGTTTTTGATCTCAAAGGGCTTGGCTTGCGTAGCTCTATAGACATTTTTTAATTTTTTTTTTTAAGTTTTATTTTATTTGCTTCTCTCCAGCACGTGGACAAACTGCTGCTACCCAGCATGTGCTTTACTGTTGTTGTTAGTTTTTAGGAGGGAAAGGGAAAGTTTCACTGTTATGGTTATTTTTGTTTTTCACGTGGTTGTGTCCTTTTCCCAACTTCTGTCCCCACATAAGCACAGATCTGTGATGTGTGTGTAAGAAGCCTCCCTGTATTCTGTGTATAAGAAATCTGCTGGTTGAATCAAACAAGAATCATTTCAGTCAGAGGGACCCAGCAAGTATTTGAGAATACTTCATCGGGGCTTCCTTGAGTGCAAGAGTTTTTAGCATTGTATTAAGAACATATTTTAAGGAAAGAGTTGTATAGTCAGAAAACAGTACTATTGGCTGTGATGTACATGCTAAGCCTCATCTCCCTCCTTGCCATCTTTTAGGATACAGCAAGGCAGGGGGGAGGTCTGTAAAAATTTCACAGAGTTTTTTGACTTGGGGATTTAACAGACAGCTTCTGGTGAATCTTGATATGGTACCTTAAACTCTCTCCTTAACCTGCAACTCTTTGCTGCATCTCTGCTGGAGGTTTCTGCCTCTAAGCTGAGTCAAGGGAAGTGCTTGAGGTTCAGCCATTGTGATGTGAAGCCCAGCGTTTTAGCTTTAAACACTGATGAAAACATGTGTATCCTCTCCTCATAAATCACATTTGGAAATAATAGGTTTGGAAAGATGCAAAGAGAGCTAGTAGGCATGTGTGGCTAGGGCTCAAACCATCACATCACAGGTCTGTTTGCTTTTTGCCTGTAATTGCATAAGCCTCCTAAACTTTGTTCTGCTACAAAACCAAATAGAAGCAGAAGCCTCACTGACTTTATGGATGGTAAATAAACACAGGGTCACACGCTCACAAAAGTTTGGGGTTGGCTAAAGAAACTTCCTGTGTCACATTTCCCAAGGACTTTATGTCATATACTAATGGAGGCATTACATTGAATGAATCTTGAGAACATTTCTGTCCTGTAAGTGCTGTTTCCCATTTTTCAGGGGTAGTTCAAGGTACTGAAACATCGTTTCCTTTTAGAAGTTTTGGGATGACTTGCATGGGTGTAGTAAAACATCTGAGCTGCAAAATAGAGCATATTTGATTTGATCTCCTAGTCTAAGCTGTGGAAGTTTTGGAGGACTAGAGCACAAAATGACCGTGTTATGTCTGTGTGTTTGCTCAGCACTCCCACTTCTAAGGCTCTGGTTTCAACTGATTATTGCGTGCCAGGTTTTAACCATTTGGCCTTGGCACTTCCATGGCATGTTTTCCCAGTAAGTGTCACTATTAGGCTGAATGAAGCTTTCCAGAAACAGCAAAAATGATTCAGCTTTCTAAGATAGAAAGGTGTAAAAATATATTTTGCCCATGTGTCCAGAAAACACCTCATAGTCTCTTCGTTAAGTAGTTATTGATATATATTTATTTATTTATTTTGAGTCTGACACATGAATTGCTGTGGTGTCAAGGATTTCCTTATTTTTTCTGATCTGGGAAAAAAAGTGAATTTTACATGTGTGCTGACTGGAGCCTTGTTAGAGTCTGTCATATTAAATTGGCATCTATGGACAAAACAGAGGCTACTTTGAAATGCCTGAGGGATGGGATGCCATCCAGAGAGACCTAGAAAAGCTCAAGAAAAGGACCCATGGCAACCTTATGAGGTTCAACAAGGCCAAGTGCTGGCCCGGGTTGGGACAAGCCCCAGTATCAACACAGGCTGGGGGATGAAGGGATTGAGAGCAGCCCTGCAGAGAAGGACTTAGGGGTGCTGGTGGGTGAGAGGCTGGACATGACCCAACAATGTGCACTTGCAGCCCAGAAAGCCAATTGTATCCTGGGCTGCATCCAAAGCAGCGTGGCCAGCAGGGTGAGGGAGATGATTCTTCTCCTCTAGTCTGCTCTGGTGAGACTCCACATGGAATGCTGCATCCAGCTCTGGGGTCCCCAGCACAGGAAAGAATGGATGCAGAGGAGGCTACAAAAATGATCAGTGGGCTGAAGCACCTCTCCTTGTGCTTCAGGCTGAGAGAGTTGGGGTTGTTCAGCCTGGAGGAGAGAAGGCTCTGGGGAGACCTTAGAGCACCTTCCAGTACCTAGAGGGGCTACAAGAGGTCTGGGAATGGACTATTTAGTAGGATCTGCTGGGACAGTACAAGGGGCAATGGTTTTTATGCTGAAGGAGGGTCGACTTAGACTAGATTTGCTAGAGGAAATGTTTTACATGGGTGGTGAAACACCGGAACGGGCTGCCTGGGAACATTCAAGGTCAGGTGCGACGGGGCTCTGAGCAACCCGATCTAGCTGAAGATGTCCCTGCCCATTGCAGGAGGCTCGGACTAGGGACCTCTAAAGGTCCCTCCCAACCCACCAGACCACCGTGTGACTGTGTGAAACCTGACGTCTCTGTGCCTGTCCCCGTCTCACCTGAGGCACAGGGGAGCGCTCCTTTACCTGCAGCACCGCTCGGCGGCACGGCCGCCCTTCCCCGGGAAGGGTCTCCCTGTCTCCTCGCTTCCCACGGCGCTTCCCGCGGCGGGCGCGTGCCGGCGCCCCGGGCCCACCGCTAGATGTCAGCGTTGCTCTTCGCCCGATTTTCGGCGCCCGCACACCCCGAATTTCCAGGTGTTCCGTCCCATCGCAGGACCCTTCAGGTTGGGAAAACACCTTTGAGATGATCGAGTCCCCCCGTTAACCCCGCGCTGCCGAGCCCACCGCTAAACCATGTCCCCGAGTGCCACATCTGCATGCCTTTTAAGTACCTCCGGGAGTGGTGACTCCCTGAGCGGCCTGTTCCAGTGCTTGACAACTTCCATGAAGATATTTTTCCTGATATCCAATCTAAACCTCCCGCGGTGCAACTTGAGGCCATTTCCTCGGGTCCTGTCGCTTTTGACCTGAGAGAAGAGACTGACCCCCATCTTGCTACAACCTCCTCTCAGGTAGTTGTAGAGAGTGATGAGGTCTCTCCTGAATGTCCTCTTCTCCAGGCTGAACACCCTCAGCTGTTCCTCACAAGACTTGTGGTCCAGTCCCTTCACCATCTGTGTGGCCCTTCTCTGGACTCATTCCAGCAGTTCAATGTCTTTCCTGTCGTGAGGGGCCCTAAACTGAACACAGGATTCGAGGTGTGGCCTCACCGGTGTCGAGTACAAGGAGACGATCACTGCCCTGGTCCTGCTGGCCAAAAAGCACACCCAGGTGTGTCTGACACAAGTACCCACGCGTGGGGTAGGTTTTGCAGAAGTGTTCTTAGGGTTGGTTTTATCTGGAACTGAAATGGTTTGGAAGGAGTTCTCCTGCCTATGGATAAAACTTTTAAAATCCACATCCTGCACGGAGTACACTATGCCTGAAGACCACAAATGGAAATAATGGACTTACTCGAGTCTGTTCTTACTGGAACGAGTTATGATTGTCTCAATGCCAGAAAATTAGTCAATATCATTTAATTAAGTTTATCTTTGACAGAACTTCGTGTTGCCATTTGTTCTAAAGTAACATGTCAGGTTACAGTTCCCAAGCTGGTACAAAATCATAGAATCATAGAATTGTTTGGATTGGAAGGGATCTTTAAAGGTCAACTAGTCCAAACCCTCTGCCACAAGCAGGAAAAATGGCTTACATTTTAATTCAAATTTTGAGGGTTAGTCTCTTCCCTATGAATTCTGAAAACAACATAGATGAGTTTATAACATATTGCATTCAAAAATTTGGATTAACAAAGCATTCTTAAGGCTGAAAAAATCAAGCACAGATGTTGAATGTAACATTGTCTCTGCATCCTGTGTTTTTTCTACAGAAGTAGTAATACTGTGTGTGCAAATGCACTGCTTATTTTTGCCCTGTGTATTCTTTCATCTTCAGCTGGGATGGCCTTTACTTCATCATCATTCAAAGCTTTGTTTTATCTTCACTGAAAACAGCAAGATATAATATTCATATCCTGTGATGATGGCTGAATTAGTAATTTCTTTGTGGACACTGTTGTAATAGTTTGCAATATCCATATAAAATCATGCCGTGTTACTGGGCAACCTGGACAGTGTTGTGAGACAGAGTTTAAAATTGCCAAACTGCCATTCATTTTGGCGGTCACAGTGAGATGTCTCAGAAAAGCTTTTCAAAGCGCTCTGGTTTTATACTATATTAGGTATTCAGAAAGCCACTATAACACATTAAACTTTGGCTGGAACTGTGAGTACTCAGAACACTTGGCCAGATGTTTCACATGGGATGTGTAAGAAGTTAAAACTTAGTGATGACCAGGTTAGTTAAGGTTTCTGTTGAGTCCTGCCTTGTGTTACGTACAAGAAGCAGATATGGCATCTCATTTTTTAGGCAGCATGCAACTGTCTTGATGCTAAGAGTATACTTTTTTTTTCCCCTGTAGTGATCTCCTTAGTTTGCCACTCATCTTCTGCATTATTGAAAAAACCCCAAACAAAGAACAACAACAGTTGTGATCACTGTAGAGCAACGTGCGTGACAAGGAGGATGCACAGAAGAGAGCACATTAAAAAGGGACAGGCATTTGTAATTTTGATACTGCTTATCTTAATAGTTTCTTTACTCTCAGGCATAATACTCTTTTTAATACTTTGTGTAATTCCCTAACTTTTTAGAAAAGCCAAATGAAAATATCAAACTAGATTTTGGGGAATCATAACACCCCCCCATAGGGGTCATCAGCAAGATGATAATCTTTGGATGCTTCTGACAACCATCTGCTACTTGAGCTAACAGTGTCATTGACAGCAGTAGCAGGAAGTTATTTTTTAAATTGTCTGTCAGTAGAAAGGAAGAAAGGGTGTGCATCCTATGGGTTCCCTAATGTCTTGCTGGGAGTCGAGAAATTTTCCCATACCATCCAAGTACTTGGGAAGGAAGTCTTGGCTGATTGACTGGATCCTCAAAGACTGAACCTTCTCCCTGCCATTGTGTTTTGTCCCACTATTCTTCTTCCCTGAGTCCTTCATCTCATTTCTCTTTGCCACTAGTAGCTACCTTAGTGCTGTCTCCAGTTTTCTGGCTCACTCTTGATTCAGCTTTCCTTGGTTTTCTGTCTTCTGAGCCCAGTCCTCCCCAGTGTTAGATTAGATCAGCTGATATCCCTTCCAAACCTACAAGTTTCCCGTTACTTCCTGATGTCAGACTCTTATCCCAGAGTCTGGGATGACTACACTGTCATTTCTTCCAGCTCCAGTAGTAGTTTCTCTCATCCCATTCTGCACAACAGGGTCCATTCTAAGTCTTGGAGCCCTTGACCACAGGGCATTTTCCTGAATGTGGCCTCACTACAAGCCAAGTTATTATCCTGCCTGTATTTAAGTTAAGTAGGTTTTATCTTCCTGATAAACTTTACCTCCTTTCTTCAGTGTACTCTGCCTGAAAGATCTCAGAGAAGATGCTTCCTTATCTGTTGAATGAGAAGCAAGTGTAGTCAAGGACTGTCTTACATTCTGTCTCAAATTTTGTTGTTCAATTGACTTGGTCTTATAAGGAGACAGAAAGTGGACAGCATGTCTTCCAGCTCATTCCCCTCAGTGTTAGGTGTCCAGATGATCAGATCAACTTGCTTGAACTCTTACATGCTGCAAGCCCCTATTTTTCACTCCCATAATGCGTATCAGATCTGATAAATTGAATTTTGACATCCTGATGATCGTAGTTCCTTAAATGAGAATTGGAAAGCCTGAGGAAAAACATGCACACACACTTGGACGAGAAACAATGTGAGTTGCTGCCTTTGTCAATACAATGGTGTTTTTCTGAGAGCTGACATGGTGGCACTGTGTAATACAGTTATAAACCGATTAAGCAGATGGAGTTATACTATGTGATGCTTCTGTCATGTTTCTTGTTGCAGGGGTTTTTTTCACTATTTTCTTCTGTTTTCTTTCAGTCCAAAAAGATGTAGGACATGAAAATTCTACTGCTACTTTGAGTAGTTGTGCTGTTTTCTTTTTTATACAAGCAGAAATGAGGAGTAAACTTAATTCTCATTAAGCTGAATTTTACTTGATCCTCTCCTAAGTAGAATTGAGTGCCATTTAAATACTCCATTATAAGCCTACAGAAAGCAAATAATGTCACTGAGGATATTAGCTGAAAATGCATGAAAGTTAAGGATTGTGTTGAGTAACTTAAGTTATTTATTGTTTGTCAACTTTTATTGACAATGAGAATATGGGTATTTTACTTGGAAAAGCCTTATAATATTTAGACATTGATGACTGGTGAAAGTTAATCTAAGGAGGTCTGATTTATATGGTTTTATGCCTCATGCCCAGACAACATAACCGATTTCCAAAATTTATGTTCTCTTAAAGCTGTATAATGTTTAATTTAGAAACAGTTTCTCTAGTACTGAATGCATTAGTACACAACATTATCAGTTCAGGAGCTGGGGTGTTCAAGTATTTTTGCCTTTGAAATACCCTAATGTTTATGAACTCTTTCAAAAACTTTCATTTTAAAAAACCCTCTTCTGAAACAAAGAAGAAACACACAGAAGTTTGCTGGCTTTTAAAAAAAAAAAAGTTACTTCAAAATTCTAATTAGGGCCAGCAGTTCAGATATATAGGGGAAGGAGATGACTGTGTTTGGGTTAATATTATTATTTCTCTTCTTTTGAGAAAGCACCTGGAGACCCCATTTGTGATCAGCTCCCCACTGGGTATTGTATATACACATAACAGCCTCTGGTATGCAGAAGGTCAGACGAGAAGGTGTTCTAGTCCTGTCTGGCCTTTACTCAATGAATAATAGAAGACATTTGCTGCCCAATGTTTACAATGAAAATAGACCTGGCAGATGGTGAGGAAACATGCAGGTACTGTGAATTCATACTTTATAGCCAGCTAACGGAGACTGATAGGTGACTCGCCCAGGGTCACAGAGAAAGTTGAGTTAGTACCAAGAGTTAGATTGAGCACCAAACAAGTGGCTTGGAAGAAGCCTGGCCTTTCTTTTGCAGTGCCTAGTACTTAGGGACTTAGTGCAGAAGCTGGATGCCATTGCCAGCTCCTCTTTAGTTCCTTTGGAGAAAGTAAAACTGCTATGAAGCAACCTTTGCTGTCTCCACCTGGAAAGGATGTACCAAGGCCCACCATTGGAGTGACTGTAAATGTGCTGGAGCAGGACTTAGCAATTAACTTCTTCTCAACATGCTTAACGAGGGCAGGAAATAGCCTCATGCTAAGCAACTGTTTTCTATTTTCTCTGTAAAGATGATGGATTCATAAGTGCATTTAGCAAACCGAATAAGCTG